ACAGCTTATTTCACCTGATTTACAGGCTATCCTTCCAGCCATATAAACTGATATGATGTATGCCTTTTGGCAACAGCATGTTGTTGATATATGTTCTGCTTTTTTCCAAGGAAGATGATATTCAGTGCACTTTGACATAATCTGAAAATCTGTGTTTGCAAAAGCAACAGAGGATCTTCTTAATATTGCCCATCTTTGACATGTTTCCTTCGAACTTCAAAACCATGGGTCTAATTTGTTCTGAGGTTTTTGTGTCTGAAACACACTGGTCTGTTTTCATATAAAACCAAGCATCTGAGGAAGCATCTGTGGACCCACTGAGTGAGGATGAGAGTTGGGAATGACTAGGCTCTGCTCCTGGACACATCACTTCCCTGTGGTCTGACCTCAGAGAAATTATTTTGCCATCTTTGCCTTGGTTCCCCCACTTGCAAAACAAAGATGAGGTTTCTTTGATTGCCTTTCTTCCTTTTTTTTTTAATAATTAAAGATCCTTGAGTGGCCTGACAAAAGGAGGTGTGTGAATCAGTACACTAAATACTGAAAGAAGGGGAACAAGAGCACAAAAGCATTGTCCAAAAAGCAGATCTGTGCCTGGCATGCAATAGACGAATCTTAACAAGATCAGGAAAGATACTGTATTTATTCAGGCCTGGGTGCTTGGTGGACCTTTCCACAAATCAAGCACCCCAGCAGCAGGTTTCCATACTCCTTTTATACACAAAAATCAGGGGTTAGTGCTTTTCCAAACACACCTATTAGATACTGGTTGGTTAGTGATTAACATACAATTACAATACAGCTCACATAATGCTTCTACTACTGTGCAATGCTCAGGGGAAGGGTCTTAACCTGGGCCGGGGTCTTTTCGAGCTGTGGGTGTGTTTCTCAGTACGATAATGAAGGGAGTTCACTTTCAGCACACTCAGAAGTTGGTTTCATTGCCAAGTTCATTAACTGAAGAGTCACTCTGCCAGGCTGTCAAGTAACTCATCCTCAACATGGTCCTAGACATTCTCTTTATGGTCCAGGACGTTCTGCTTATTTTCTAGGGTTTGGAGATCAGAATCTATCCTTTTGGAATTTCTTATCACTAATCAAGGTAATTTTGACCAGGCTTCGAGGTCTTGTTCGACCAAGCTTCAAAACCTGGTGACTCCCCCATTTGTGCGGTGCCTGTGGCCGCTAGCACCGTTACTAGCACACGTCAAGTGTGCTCTACAAGCGCACGGAGCGGGGAGAGCACCCCGGGAAGAGCGAGGCCTGGCTCCAGCCCGGCGAGGCCCCACGCCAGGCCCTGCCTGCGCCCCGTAATCGCCCGCGCTTCCTCGGCGGTGCCGGGTTCAGACGCGGGCGCTCTGGCGTGGCGCAGCCGTTGCTCGCCGTGGGAAGGTGTGGAGCTGCCGTTTGGGGAGAAGCGGAGCCTCCCTGCGAGCCACTGGCGCCTTCCCCCGGCGTTTCACCCAGCCTGAGCTTTACCGGGGCGGGGGGAAGGGGAGGCGGCGTGTCGGTGGGGAGAATGAGGAGTGCGGGAGGCCTCTTCGGCGGAGCGGATGGTGGAGCATGCTTGCCTTTGGGAGGGCAGCCAACCCTTCTCCATCATCGCGTGGCTGAGATTCCTCCTGCGTGTCTTCTCCAGCTTTAAATAGTGCGACTGATTCAGGCGAGTCAGGATTCTGGCGACTTTGGAGCACGGACCCCATCAGCGCTTCGGAACTTGAAGTGTCGCTTCTCCTGCAGAACTTCACCTTTCCTCTCTTAAAGAAACATCTATCACTTATGTATCAAAACAGTGAGCTTTAAAGTTTATGATGTTCTGAAGCAGAATGTATTTTGGAGTTCGCTGCAGAGCTCCCTTGCCTAGGCAGCCAGCTGATCCCTTTCCAAATCCCACCAGCCTGTTGGGAGTCCGTGTGACAGTGAGGTCTGCAGTGTAGCCTGTGCAATAAAGTACATAATTTAATTGCTCTTAATTAGTAAATTTCTAGTTTTCTGCAGCTAATGCAATTATTGTGCTATGTTGATCTTTACTGATATGTACTCGGCCTCTCTATTCCCAGCATTACTTGTATATGTTACTATCATTAATTTATCCTCTAAACTGCATCTTAGCCTTTCTGAATATAATTATTCATATTTCTTGGCTTTCTTCTTAAGCTTTGGGTACCATCAAATGAAACTTGTGAGAGGTTTGTTCAAAGCTAATGCAAGAACGTAGCTCTTAACACAGTGTGCAGTTAAACTGTAGGACTCCTGGCCACAGGATATTAGAGGGTAAAAGCTTTTCATGTGTCCGGAAAGCATTTTAAAAAGATCAGTGAAAGAGAATATGTTGAAGGCTATTAAATGCAATGGAACATTTTTGGCTGAGGAAATCCCTGAGCTGAAACTTTCAGGAAGCTGGGAGTGTTCTGGAGATGAGTATTTCTCCTTCTCTTCAGTAGGTGATCTTTATTCACCAATGTCCCAGTCAGAATCCTGGTTTAACTGCAGATTTGTCTGACCTAGCATTGCTATTCTTAAATAAAGATCTTCAGGTCATCTCAGTTTTTGGCTAGCCTAAGTAGTGGCTAAAATGTGAATTACCAGTAAGTCTTGTCACCTCTGTGCATGTTCTCTACCCGTTTCAGATCACTGAAAAAAAGTTAATGGTGTTTTTTGTATTTCTGTTTTTTCTGCCACCTCAGACTTTCTAGTTTTCCTTTTAAAATGTGAAAGCAGGATCTAGAGGCAAGTACTGTTTTCTAAAGTAAAATTACCTGCCTTTTTCAGTTATCTCTTTTTGCCACCGCTTTGCTCTGGGAGTACATGTTGTACTGGTTGTCAGCTGCTGCTTTTCAGCGTATTTTACTGGAATTGCTTTTGTTCCTGCTTCTAGGGTAATGACTTCAGAGTTTTGGGTTTTGTTTAAACCTGTCTATTTAAACCCAGCATAAGGACCCTTGGTGACTGCCCAGTTTCATATGTTTTTTTGTTATTTGCTACTCATTGCAGCTCTGTTCAATGCTGTGACAATCTTTGTCATCCATGGATTTATCAAGAGTAATATGTTACCTCCCATCAGAAAAAAATGAAAATTGTTAGCTCTCGTCTAGAAATGATTGTCCTAGACTTGCTGGACAACTGTTGTTTGATTCTTTACTGACATCTGGTTTCAGGGCAGGTAAAGAGTGGGGCTGATAATTTTTTTTCTTCTTTTTTGAGATTTTGTGGTCTGATTTTAATCCATTTAGCATCTAACCTGTAGACAGAGTGCTAAGGCTCTGTGTGTGTGTTTTTGTGAGATATCAAGCTCGCTTCTTGCAAAACTGAAGTATGTTACATCTTTGTAGTTGCTTTTGTGAATCCAGCTTTTGTTCAGTAAGTTCCATTTAAAAACCCAACAATGTAGCTATCCTTCCCCCCCAGCATTGATGAGTACAAAGTGTCTTTTAAGTCTATAGTGATCCGATTCCGTAATTGTCTTCTAGCATGAATCACAGGTCGTATAACTGTATAATCTCAGCAGCATAAATTACTACAAATACACTTTTTTTTTTCCCCAGTCCTGGTAGAATTTAGAACTCTTCTAAACTAGTATATTTCCCCAGTCTTCTAAAATTTCTTAAGTATTTAAACCTGTAGATATGTAGTCTCCCCAGTCAGCTATTTTTAATGTCCATGGCCATGGGGTTTTTTTGTGCTTGCTGATTTAAAAATGTTTGTTCCCACTAGATTTTGTTCAATTTTGCCTTCATTAGTATTGCAGTGAAAAATAGTTCATCTCTTTGTGATGAGAGTACATAATTTTCCATTTCTCCTAAAACAGAAGAATTTTGGAGACCAATGCTTTTCATACATTTTAAGCAGCTGTATTGTCATGTAGCGTGTGATGACATGAGTTGACATTTCTTCTAGTTTTGAACAACCAGTACACCTTATTTTCTTAGCTTTGTTTAGTCAGTGTTCCTTGCTCCCTGAAAAATCCTCCTTAGTCTCACCATTGAGCCATAGTGGCTCTCAGACTCTCTTATTGCTGATTAAATGACTACCAGGAGTAACAATTCCTTTAACTCTTACTATTGCTTTTAAACTTCTTTATTATCTATACATATCAGTAGCTTGAGGAACTTGAACTCAGGATACTTTTATGTATACTGGAAACGTGGGTTCAAATTCAGATCCTGACCATGGTAGGGACTTCCTGAAGAAACAAGCTATTATGAAAACATGACATAAAGTTGTGCCTCCTTATGCGCTGTCAGATAGAAAAGTCTTTAGGATACCAAGCAGTTGCTTCTCTAAATGTTGTTCTGTTGTAGTGTTTGCGCAGATTTTAGATTAGAAGTTGAAACTGCTCTATTCAGACTTCTTGGATGTCTTGATCTGTCACCACTATACTCAGTCTTCTCCTGAACTGAAAACTTCACTTCTGGTCAAGAAAACAACAGACATGTAAGTCTGAAGCCTGTATCAGGCAAATTAGTAGAAACTATGGTCAAGTACAGGACTGTTGGACCCCTGAATGATTATGGTCTACATGGGAAGAATCAACATGGTTCTTTTGAAAGGAGGCCCACCCTTATGCGGCTCCTGGATCGCTGCGTAGACTGTCATGGTGTCTGTACTTGATCAGCTTGTTCATCCAGAGAACCTGAGCCAGGACATTTTCTGCTTTGCTTTGTGTTGTCTTCTAAGCCCAAGCTAAGTTCTTTGGTCATGTTCCACCTGATCGAAGACTCCCACCCCTTGTCATATCTCCTGAGGGATATTGCTGCTGATTGGCTGCTCTGCAGGTCGTCACCACTGTGTAGATTTGCAAAGGGCTTGACAAAAGCAGCATGAGTGTGATGGAGCAGCATAACTAGTTGCTAGTTGCTGGCATCATTAGCTGCATAAATAGCTGCCAGATTTTCAACTCTTGGACTTCATTGCAACAGGCATCCAGATCTCCTTCCCTGCACCCC